ATTTATTTGTGAGGGAACTTAATAGTATAATATTAAACATAAATGTTGCCATTTTATGTGTCATACCAGGAAGTAGCTTTTGAGGTCGTTTGTATCTGCAGTCCACTGCATAATAAAATACTTAAACAACTCAATTGACAGAAAGCCAATCAAGAAATCTGACAAATGTGTTTAAGTCATTATTAAGCAAAAATGCCAAAACTTTGCTAGTGCTTTTAAAATTTGAGGAATTATATAATTATGTCTGTTTAAATGCTAAAAGATAAATTTATTAAAGGGAAAATAATTGAAATACTGAACATAATCTTTAACTTTGATATTATGGGTTGTAGGATTGGGCATTGTTTGACACTAGGGCTAAAATATGGTACAGATACTAAAACAATACTTTTTTCATTATCTTACTTTTATAGAACCCTTTTAAAACAAAGGTTAACAAGATTAGAGATCTGACCAGCTATTGGATCCTTTTATAAGGACACATTTCATCTTGTTACCAAAACAGCATAGAGGTTCAATAGTCAGTCCTTGTGGCTAGTTAGCTCTTGTTAGCTCTCTTTGGCTTTTTCTGAATACACAGCACACAAACAAACACCTACAGTCAACATACGCATTCAGACATACACTCCTCACGCCACAGGATGTCAGGTGGTCCAGCCATTGTGACCCCACCTGTAGGACATTGTCAAAGCACAAAGGAGGGGCACAGTACGTGTCAGCCTGCTGTCAGCTTCTGTTTGACTCGAATTTGTAAATCCCCCTCTTTCAGCCGTGGGGCTTTGAAAGATTAGCCAAAGGTCTGTCGAGTAATTCACATCTGTGTAGGCTTTTATTGTCAAGAGGCAGGGGATCCCTCCACGGTTTTCACAGACCACAATAATTATGATTGTCAACACTGTTCAAGTTTCACCGTTTGTTTCTGAGCGCATAAACATGTTCATAGTGGATTTTTTGAGGGCTGGGTACCCACAAGGATTTGAGGTGCTTTGTTGTGTTTATTAACTGCACGGATCATGGATTTAAAAGAAACTCCTGGTCTATTGTTCTTTACAGGTTTATGTAACCTTCAACTTAAGGTCACTGGTGTTTTTCATTTCAGCCAGATGAAATTTCAACTATAAACACAAAACATGTTTCAAAGAGGAGCAAACTTTGACAATCACAAAGAGACACAATCTTTACATGGGACCTGTGCAGCGCTCAGCTTCTCAGGCACTAACCAGACTGAAGTTTGCTATAAAGGAGGGCCTCTCCCTTGTTGCCCTGTGAGGTCACAGCACCTGTTCTTGGTAATTGCTGGCAGGTGACGTAAGGCCTCCACTTGTTTTCCATGGTGTAAGATGGAGGTCACCATGGCTGCCTCCAACATTGAGGCTGACATTGAAGTCATGTTGGTTGTTTGCAGCAAATAAGCGAGTTTGACTCGATCATTTTATCCCCCAGTTCCCTGAGAGTGTTTCCATGTGTTGGCTTACCTGTCAAAGGTGAGTTAGTAAAACAAAACATTATCATGGATTTTCATGTAGGCAGTGTTATTCTGTGTGATATACATGAATAATAGTTATTATTTTCACACAAAAATTGTTGCTGTTTATTCCCAGATCTCAGTCATTACTTTAGTGAGTTTAGTGTAATCATAACTTCGAAATGATGGCCACAGTTATCAGAATAAGTGAAGTTGTAATAAATAAAAATGATCCCTAACATGTTACAGACACTGCAGATGGTCTTTATAATGTGACTTTCCCACAGATCTTTGTGTAATTTATTTTTCGTTTTGTATTGTTTTTTATTATAAACAATAAGCCTTAAAGGTGCAATATGTAAGAAATGGCCCCCTGTTGAATTCATACTCCAAACATATATGGGGCAGCCTATAACCAGAGAAACCGCTAACTATAGCTGCTGTTAGCTAGTTATCTCAGTTAGCCATGCAGCTAACGACGCTATTCTTGGCTGATTCTGGCCGTTCGGAGCACTGGGAAGTGTTGGTGTTTGCACCGCTAGCACGGGAGCTTTGGGCCACCGGGAAGAGGAGGTTTTCATGCTTGGGGTTAGGACCCAGCAGGGAATGCTAGCAGGGAGGAGTGCTGGAATTTGAAACAGAACCAGAGCCAGGCAAGCTGGCAGGGAGATAGGCTTAGCAGTCACCCAATGAAAACGGCCAGACTGGAACCAAACACAGCATCTGAGATCAACGGAGGCAAATTTGCCAACAACGAATACAGTTTTGCATTGATTTACAGCGGCTCTGACTCTGGGATGCCAGTAGCCCAATCCGGCAAGAAAAACACCTTAGTGTTGTTGGACTGAGGACAACTAAGTTACACTGACTCACTATTACATCTTGTGGTACTTGTGTTATTACAAGACCAGAACGATAATCAGGTTGGCAGCAGAGAACCTAGAAGCTTTGATGGTGCATTTTGCATAGAAGAGCATAACAAACAGCCAATCAACAGCCTCTTCTATATAAAGCCATTTATTGTTAAAATTGGCTTACAGCTGAAAAAGATACAGTTGTTGAAAACAGACTGTAGACCGTATCGATGGAAGATGTTGTTACTGTTACAGTGTGAAACAGGTACTGGCTCATTTCTTATTGATTTACATATCCTCTGTAGACTAATTCAACTGATATTTTTATCACCACTAGCCAAACATTACTTGCGTCCTTTGCCGTTGGTGGGTCCAGCTGATGATGTCTTTTCAAGGCTGGCTGCAGGAGGACAGAAGCCAGTAGATAGGGTCTATGGCCCTGTGAATCTGATAGCACCGGTTTTAAATGTTTGAGAGAAAGGAGTCCTCGTCTCTGCTCTGGAGCTAGTTATCTCTCGCCTTTTTAGTAAAGGGATCCACAGATGGCCTGTGTCCTGACAGTGATACAAATGTGATAACGCTTGCTGAGGTATTCCTCTTGGATCCTCTTACTGTATTACTGTACGCCGACAAATGGGGATCATTCATGCTCAGAGTAAACAAGACACTGTCAGACACAAAAAGAGTCCTCATTTTTCTCAAGATGAGGCAGAAAAGAAAGAAGAAAAAGCTTCTTTTCATCATTGGCAGACAAAACAACCTCTTCACACCTGAGTGTGTCCTCTGTTTTGAGTTCTTCCCATCCATTGTCATCATGTGTTATCTAAACCATACAATCCACATGAAAAGATCATTTCATGTTCTGCTGCCCCCTGAGGGGATTTGGACAACATGCCTTTCATTTGCTTTGTCTGAATCCAGTGACAAAACCATTTGTCATCTTTTTTTCCCCAGGTTATGCCTGGTTTGAGCTCGCTTCAAAGACCTGGTCTCTGATGAGCAGCCCAGAAACTGCCTTTAGATTTATGAGTTTTGTTTGCGTTGGAGAATCCAAGCCTTTTTTGTTGTTACTCATTGAGTTCTTATCAGAAATCAGTGTTTGGATTATAGGGAGCCAACGTGTCACCCTCACAGCCAGCAGTTCTTTGTTGTTGTTTTTTCAATACATGTTTTGGCCATTTCATGCCTTTATTAGACAGTGATTGTAAAGACAGAGGAGACAGGAAATAAGGGAGAGAGAGAGATGCATCAAAGTTCTCTGGCTTTTTCAAGCAGGGTAGGTCGTTCATGGCCGGTATCTTAAACCCTAAGGGCAAGGTATCAGTCTGAAAAGCTAATATTTGCCTGTTCATTCTCGTTGTCAGTAGTCTAATAACCATGAATACACACTATCAAGTTTGATCATATGGTACATCATTGTCATTGCAGTATAATCATTTGTTTTTTCAGGTGGGATCTATCAAGTGTAGGAAAATGACATGTATTGCTGCTCTTTACGGATGTGACTGCTCAATAATTGGTGGAACATGATGCTGCTGGGTGTAGTGTGTTCTCTCTCTGTTTGGGTCTGTTCAGGTTGACCCCATTTTGGGCTGGGTCTAATTATCCTTGGGTCTACATCAGACAAGCCTAACTGTCTGCATTCTTTTGGTACGGGTTTCATGAATCTATGCCGATAGGGTTTGGATATTTCTGTAGTATATCTGGTCCAAACACCTCAATATCAAGGCACTGGTTTACCATTTTCCTGTGGTTTTACTATTAAAATAAACGTTGATATATATGTCTTACATTTTACTGACTAACTCTAGTCTAGACAAGTCAATTTTAGAAATATTATATAAAAACAAAATGATTATTCTATGTAACGGAATGGGCTTTACAATGAACTGTTGAACACCGCTACAACACATTTTGTAGTGCCGTGGTTTTAGGGGAATTTAAAACTATACAATGTGGTCACGGGGTGGTGATGGCACATTGAATAAAACACATGCCTTTGGTGTGAGAGACACGGGTTCAATTCGCTCTGTGACACATCCAACAATGTGTCCCTGAGCAAGACACTTCACTTCTAGTTGCTCCAGAGGCGTGCAACCTCTGAGAAATTTAGCAATTGTTGCTTTGGATAAAAGTGTCCGCTAAATGAATAAATGTAATGATGACCTAACTCTACTCTAAATCCTTTGAATATTGAAGGTTGTTGGTTTTAAGGATCTTTTTAGACCCATTTTTTGTCTATATTTGAACTTTTCCCCTTAACTATTTACACAACTTACAGTATTAAGTTTAACCCACATTTCAAGTAATTTCAAGCTACATTCCTGCCCGGTCTGTAGGTGTGTTGGAACGGAACTGAGACTCTGGTTACTGTAAGTCTGTACTGTAAGGTTTCAGCTCAAGTCCCACGCACATATCTGAGCATGATATTCTATAGACAGCCCACCTCAGTGAGCTTGGGCCATCGCAGGACAACATTAGTTGGAGTTGTTTCAGCTTTGGACCCGATTCAAAGTATAACGTGAGCCTTTGTATTTAAAAGTGGGAGGATTTGTAATAGATCCCCTCTATCTGTCCACTTTTAACAAGTGACATTGGCCTTCCTGGCTTTTACTCAGAAGAGGCTTGATGGCCATAATTATTTACACAGAGGGTTTCCTTCTTTTTCTCTCTTTTTACAGTCGGTCATTTTCATAAGGGATCATAATACCCTTGGACAGGAAGTATCTGGCTATATAGACTACGCCCACAGACTCAAGACCCAAGATTTTGAACCATATTTCAGCGGAAAGAAGAGACTCATGCCAGGACGCTCGGATTTATGGTAAGTCTCCTTCCATTGTAACATGTCCACGTTGGTTGGGGAAGCCTTGACTCGAGTGGGATTTGATGAGATTTGAAGGGTAAGGAAATCTTATTATCCAGGATTAAAGACTCAGGTTGACGTGAGAGACCAATATAATCTTGGAAGGAGCTGTGTAAAGGGCCAGTTTAGTTAGTATGTACAGCACCAGCCCTTGTGGCCTCAGCATAGATGTGGAATAAATATACACTTCTAAGTAAAGCTGAGTAGAGCTGCCAAAGTGTCCTGTCTGGACAAGGCAGACATGATTAAAGTCAGGATTAAAGTGGGTTTAAACCGTGATATTTTGATCTTCTTTTGATGTGCTGTAAATTTGTCATCACATATGAATGTAAAAGATTTAATGGCCATGTGGAGGCCTCAAAATTAGATACATTAATAGATAAACAGATCAGCTTATTGATTGATTTAGAGGCCCTGAAAACTCAATTGAAGTTGGCACACTAGGATGTGCCATACTAGTGATTTCATATTAGAGGTTTCTGATTGGGGGGGGGTTTGCCCATGGTCTTCTTTTGGTGGGATTCTTTTGGAAGGTTATTTTTTATTTTATTTTAAATTCAGTATATTTGGGGTTTATATTTTTGGTTGAACAATCATTTATAAATGTTACCTCTTGCTATAGAAAATTGAAGCGATCATAAAAATAACTGCTAGTTGTAGCACTAGTAAGGTGTTTCCATGTGTTTCCATGTGGGGGTTTATCAGCGTTTGGCCACTTACAGTTGCCACGCTGCTTCTGGAAATGAGGTTGATAAGTGGTGATTGTGAAGCAATACAGTTAACTTGTCGGCAGTAAAACCAATGAGCTGAAAGATTCTTAAACGTTCCACAGAGTTGGGTCACTTTCGGGTGACACCTTTAACATTACAAGTCCATTGATAATATAAAAATATATGGATTAGAGCATTTTTAAGCTGCTATGTTTAGAATTTGAAAATTCCTGACCAGTGGCGGCTCCTGCCAAATCTTTCAGGGTGGGTCAATTGTTGCAAGGATGGTTAAGGTGACCAGTTCAATGGACTAATCATCTGATTTAGCTGTGACAAACCTTTTATTTAGGTACAACAAATCCAGAATAAAGCGCATAGGGGTTGATAATGTGCAAGGAATAAAATTGTTTACAGTTAATCTTGGATTGCAGCTAAGGGACCCCTCTCAAGTAATAGGCTACAGTAATGTAATAATATCATTCTGTATATGAAGGTGGATCAAACAGCTATTCATAAATGTTTTATGGGGTACAGATGAACCTAGTATTTATTTTCATTCTTTACGTTACACAAGATTAATAGGGTAAGCAGAGAGTTGTAAAAAATCTTGAAAGTTCTCCACTTGTTACCCTGTAGTTACACAGTATTATTAGGGGTGTGGGCTGTATTAAAAGCATCCACTGTTCTCCCGTACTCTATAATCACACAGTAACAACGAGCTATGTGCATGCAAGGGGAAATATAAAAGGCATATTGTATTGTTTTTGGTTTATTTTCTGTGGTGCTTTCCTACTTCTCTTTCTTCTTCTTTTTATCCTCCTCTGACCAAGATGCCAGTGATGGCTACATCATGCTACCTCCTCTTTTTTCTTTGGTTTCTGGCAATAAATAAAAAAAACAATTCATAAAATAATTGTTACTGGTTAAGTGCAGTAAAGTTAACTTTAAATTGACTCCACTACCACACATAAAACACAGCTTAATAACACAATAAATCACATTTAACATAAGCATAAAATTCAGCTTTCCTCATAGCTTAACAAATGACATGTATTAAGCTATACTGTGTCTTACTCACCGCTGGTGAAGTCCTTGCAGCTCCCGACACAACACTATGGTTGAATTTTCAGCCTGAACATACATTTCAGCAGCTGATAGTAGTGACAGAAACAAGCTGGTGGACTGCCGAGTGGTTTTCAGGTGGCAGAAGCGTAGCTCTGCTTCTGGGGGCATAACGTAAACACGTAAGTGCGAGCCCTCCAGGAACCCATAAAGATTGCATTGCAGCGCCTGCAGTTCGAAAAAAAACTGCCTTTACATGAGAGACTATGAGAGAGAAAGGGGGACGAATTATAACCAGACTGAAATCGCCCTAAAAGAGGTGGGACTCCACGGAACACGACTTGACGCTGATTGTACAACGATATTCAGAGACAAACTTGTCTGTCAAAAACAGTCTAACTAACTAACAGTGTTGTAGAAAGTGTGAGAAAGATCCCATGCCTTTCCTGGCTTGGCGGTGCGTCAGTGATGACCCCAATCACCCTAATGAACAAAACAGCCCCTGGACCTGACTGTAGTAGTATCTAAAAAGACACTTATATTAATTGAATAATTTGAAAATGCTATAATCCCATAATAAATTCTACACATAGATCTTTAAATTTGAAGCCAAGACCATGTACAGTATGTTGAACAACTAAATGCATCAGTGCCAGTCGCACATTTCCAGGCCAAGCCACAAGCGAACTGCTGACCTTACAGGTGTAAGCTAAAATCTAGTTTGTATCCCTCAGTGGGGCAGACAACATCTTTATAATTCGTTGTCTATCAGGAGAACAGTGTACATAGAGAGCTGTCAGCAATTTACCAGAGCCAAAACCATTCCCACATTCCACATGCTCGTGCATAGTAACATATTACCAACATTTCAGATATGTGCGAAAAATCTCTTCAGGACAAACACACCTAGACAACAGGGGGAATTTTTGCACGGTTATTTTCAGAGTTCAGCCAAATGACATGCACCCTGCATAACCTCATTGACACTGGGCAGAACATGGTCTCTAATGTCCTAATGTGGACAGATTCTAAAGGTAAATTATGCTTTTTTTTCGTGATCTGGGTCTTTTTTCTTAGTTTTGACCGTCATTCCTGTATGGCTTGAGCTTTTACTCTCTGGTTTAAATAAGCAACAAATCATGAGTCACACTTTACAACAGAAACCATGGCTTACTGTTGTTGGAACAATGGCCAAAACTAGAAAAATTAAGACTGAAATTAGAAAACCAATAAAAACAGATTTTTTTAAAGATAAACTCAAGGTCCACTTACTAGATTTTTTTCAGAGCTTGTCAAACACATCTCAGTTGCAGTTGAAAGCTTTTTGGGGGGTCTATTTAGGGAGACTGCTGGAATGTTTTTCCAGTCCGGTTTCCACCTCAGACTGCTAATGTACAGAGTGTGTAGACATTAGCCCTCGGTCAGCCATTGTTTACAACACCAGTTGATAAAAAAACGTATTGTGCAGTATTTACGCATTCTAAACAGTAGCAACATGTCAGACAGACTGCAATTGGACAGCACTTTGTGTACAAACATTTCTATGAGACACAAGTACACAGAAGTGCTGATAAACAATATAAACTACAGCTTTCACTAACTGTTGATACTCAGAGCAGCCATCTTGGATCACAAATTCGGGGGTAGTGCGGTTCTCCCGACTCTCTGAGTCGGAAATCCGACTTAAGGGGGCGTTCCCTTTGAAATTTTTGACTTTGAACTTGGAAATTCCGACTTCTCATGTCACATGGAACTCACAATAATTGCAAGCATTAAAGTTCCAGCCAACCATACCCCTGTTATTAATGTTCTTGAATAATGACAAACATATAGGCCGTGTTCGAAACGGGCTAAACTGCTGTCTCAGAAGGTGTCTAACAGGACAGCCAGAAGAGATGCAAGACGGTGTGCTGACGTCACATAAGTGCCATAAGTGCTGCCTTAGAAGGCTGTCGAAACCAATCTAAACGGAGATGCCTTCACTCTGAAAGTTATGCCTTCGGAGGCAGCTGTCTATTACGGTAGCGAGGCAACTGCCTTCTGTTTCGAACACAGCCATTTGCATTTTCACAAGATGTGCATTGCATAGCTGTCATCCATATTTTGCTAATAATCACAGCCCTTTTGAGAATATCTCCATTCTTACATTTTTGAGCACAATTATGCATGTCAGTAATTTAAGAATACAGATATCCCCAGCTTTATATGCAGAATACTCATGTTAATATTAAAAACGTGATAAATTTGTTTTTTGTTATAGCAGTTAAAAAAGAATGAAAGTCTGTTTTATTTTTGGAAGTGGTTTGTAACCAAAGTGTCAGACATGTGAAGCTTTGTTGTTTTATTTATTCATTTCTCACCATGTGTTCTGCTTGTGGCCTTGAACTCAGCCTCCCCTCTGGTGAGTGGAAGCCCTAACAAGTTGTAGGTGTGAGTCATTGGACGAGCATGCCTGGAGGTACAGCCTACTCCATAATGATGCTTTTATGAGGCTTCCCCCCCTACACGGGTCTCCCTGCATCTCACTCCATCTGACATCTGACTTCACACTCCCTCTCTCTGTCTTTCATTTTTCACCAGCTAAAACTACTTCATCTCTCTGTCGTTAGTTTCAGCTTTTCTATCCTTGAGTTCCATGCTTTGTTACCTCTCCCCATCTATGTCATCCTCCACCTCTACCAACCCACCCCCCCAACCCCTCTTGTTTTTTCATCTCTGTCGGGAACAATAACACCCAGTGTGGTTGCCGCTAAGAGGGAGCAGATGCTGGAGCTGCTGCCCACTCAGTGCACTAAACCTCCCACCGCAGGACTCTGAATCCTGTCCCTCCTCCTCCTCCACAGCCACAAAGAACACAGAGCAGTGACACCAGCGCCAGCTCCGGCCACCACCTCCCACCTCCAGCAAGGAAGGGTGGATAGGTTCACGTACACAGTCTGCAATGTCTTGAGCGGAAAAAAAGAGCAGTAGCAGAGCAAAGTATGTGAATTTTAAAGACTATGAATTGGTTGGAGGTCTTTAAGGAAAATAGTAATTATTTAAAATGTACAGCATGTCTCTGCTCCAGCAGTATGGCGTGGACAACAAGTAATTGCTTTCAAACTTTGTATAATGGGTGTGATCTATCTCTTTGCGAAATCAACAGAAAACCGACACAAACTGGATGCTAAAGATTAAACACATCAG